GTTCAAATTATTAAATTTGGATAGTTAAATGATTTTCACGCCAAACTAAAATAAAGTGGTGTTAAATAATAGGATAATTCGGATGATTCGGCTAATTTACTTCGATTATATTACCCGAATCATCCGAATGATCCTATTATTTAATACCACTTTATTTTAGTTTGGCGTGAAAATCATTCAAATATCCAAATTTAATAATTTGAACGCCAAAATAGAATGAACTGGTGTAAAATATTAGGATAATTCGGTTTCGGTGCACATAGTAACCAGGTCATCATATGTCAAAGTTATGAAACCCCCACTAAAAAAAAGGTCTACAAAATCAAGAAAAATGCAAACGAGGATACCGCGACCGGGGTTCGAACCCACGACCCCAAAACTTGGAGGCTTACCGCGAAGACCGCTGTGCTATATGGGCTGCTTGGGGGGAGGACACAGAATATAGATTCTACCAGAAGAATCGATCTTATGTATTCGAGTGACGCTTATGGAAGAACGGGGAGAGCCAAATCACTCGGTGTACGTTTGGCCCACCTGGGGGATGGCACCTCCGCATCATCATCATCAGCACATCTCCTGGCATCAAAAAATGATGATGAAAGCACATAGGTGGCGGTGGCACCCCCATTTGTGCACACCGTCGTAGAGCATCAAGTTTGTGGAGACGCAGCTCAGAATGGTGTGTTCTGGTGCACAAATGGGGGTGCCACCGCCACCTATGTGCTTTCATCATCATTTTTTGATGCCAGGAGATGTGCTGATGATGATGATGCGGAGGTGCCATCCCCCAGGTGGGCCAAATGTAGAATCTATATTCTGTGGGGGGAGGATGGGTAAATAACTCCTCCAGACCTGCTCTAACTCAACGTGTTACAACGGAAAAACCAATCTAGCAATGTAGCGGTAATACGCACATTTTGCTGGAATTAGTTGGGTTGAGAGATTAAAAAATGTCAAACTTCGAAGCCAACATTCGCAATTTTTGTATAAGTAGATCAATAAATTTATACAGGTACTAGTTGTAGAGGATCAAGTAATAATTTGCATATTTTCATATTAAGGTGGCATTGTATGCGGGTTTTGATTTTGAATTGTTGTGTCTCAACTTTCCCTACTTCCATATATTCAAATGGCGATTTTGAACCCGGTTCATCCACGTGGTTTTTTAAAGTTTGAAGATTTGAATCCACCTAAAAATCAAAAATTTTTAGGTTTACAAAGTTACGAGGGCAGAATTTTGATATTTTTTTCTTCCATGAGAAAATATTTAATTTTTACTTATTATTTTTCATCTATTTTTTATTTATTATGGCGATGAACAGGTTTCAAAATCACCATTTTAATACTCAGACGAAGGGAAAGTTGAGACACAATTACCCAAACTCAAAACCCGTATGCGAGGACACCTTAATATTTGCACAATATTTTCATAATTTTCATATTCGTCAATTTCGAAATTGTGTACGCAAAGTTTTGATAGAACTAGAATTAATCATGTAAGTTGAGTAGTTGAAAAGTGTCCCAGTTCAAAGCCGATATTTGCAATTTTTATGCAAATGAGATGACAAGTGAAGTTCTACAGATATTCTCAATGGACCGTTGATCATGACTAATTTGAAATTATAAAGTAGTAATTTTGATACTATCAGATTAGTATTTAGATAAGTTCATAATTTTCGACTAAACCATTATAAAATTTTATGTATTTCTGTAAATACGCAGATTTGCATGGAATTAGTAAAGTGAAGTAATTATAATTGTGTAACAGTTCAAAGCCAAATAAAAATATTCGCAATTGTTATGAAAATTACGTTGTAAGTTTTACAGATTCTGTCTTTCCTTGTTATAGTTTGAGAGCATAAAAGTGTGGATTTTGCGAGGGCGGCCGTAGGCCGCGTGAAGCAAAATCAAGATTATATGATTCTTCCGGAAACGGAATATATCACTGTAATAACTGTTGTTGTAGTGATTGATATCACGTAGTGTGTGCAGTCCCATATTTTCAAAGTGCATGCGCACAATGAAAAAGTAAGAAGAAGGAACCCTACTTGCCACGTCGCGGGTCCGGTAATCTTCACTATTTCAAAGTCACCGAATTTCATATTTTAATTAGTGGGGGAGGGATGGAGGGCAGTGATATATTCCGTTTCCGGAAGAATCATATAATCTTGATTTTGCTTCACGCGGCCTACGGCCGCCCTCGCAAAATCCACAATTATATTTCTTCTTCCTCCAACTACATATATCACTGTAATAACTGTTGTAGTTGTTTAAAGTAAATATGAAATTCGAAAAAATAAAAAACCGAACAAATATGTAACTTGTTTAAACAGTTTTTACTACCAAATAATTTGCTGTGCATCCTTGACCTGTTACATATGTAAATACAAACTTAAATATTATATCATTATTTTAATTTAATTACTTAGTAAAGAATTTGCAAAAGTGGTTCTATCATCTATTTTCTTATTGTAATGTTTAGCAAATACATTTGAACGATTGCTCCAGCCAACTCTTTGAAAAATGGCATCAACATTTACCTTACGACTTGATGCCTTTGAGGTCGCAGCGTGCCTAAAACTGTGACCTGTATAAATACTTGAATCAACTCCAGCCATATCTAAAGTTTTACACAACCATTTGCTAATGGTCTGAGATGTGACCGGTTTGTATGGAGAAACAAAAGATATGAATAAATTAGCACTTTCTCCTCTCAATATTTTAGTTTTTTCTACATACATTTTCAAATTGAAAATCGGACACAAACTTTTGTTCTCGAAAGAAGGGATGATTAAAATTGGATTCGGATTTTTTATCGTAGTTGTTTTTAGAATTGAAGGAATCTTGATTTGAATTGGATCTCCCCATAAAATGTCGTGTATCTGTATTTGTGAAAACACTTGTGCTCTTTGAGCCGTAACTAACGCTAATAATGCTAATACCTTAAGAGTCAACTCTCGTAAAGGAATTGTTTCACTATCTAATGATTTCAACACATCGAGCATTTTACTGGAATCCCATGTTAATGAATATTTAGGTGTGGGCGGTCTTAACTTACTAATACCCTTCATAAACTGAGTAATTAACCTATGTTCGCCTATTTTACAATTATCAATATCGGGAAAAACTGCTGACAAAGCTGATCTAGCAGTGTTTATAGAAGCATAACTTAAACCTGACTCGTACATGTTAGCTAAGAACGACAAATATTTTGACAATTCATTATCATATACATTCCATTTCATAACATTACAAAACGATATCCACTTTTTAAGAGAAGATTCATACTGTTTCCAAGTACTGGCACTACATGATGACTTTAGAATTGAAATGACGTTATCTGGCAGATTCAATATTTTAAATGATTGGCTGACAATAGTGCTGCCATTAATGTTGTCTTGAAACTCAGTGGATGACTCCTATTAGAATATGGACAAAAAAGAAGATCGTTAGCAGGTTTCATAATAATTATTTTTGAAATCTTTAAGTTATGAAATAATGGAAACCACGGTTGGTTTGGCCAATTTGGGGCAACTACAATACCCTGGCAATGCTCTTCCCTGATTTTCTTTAAAACTCGAGTGAGTAATTTAAAGGGAGGAAATGCAAAAAAGAATTCTCCCCATGGTTTAGTAAATGCGTCCACCCATTCAGCGTCCGGACAAGGGAACCAAGAAACGAAGCGAGCACATTGATTTGTTTTATTGGAGGCAAAGAGATCAATTACGGGGCTACCTAATTTGTTACAAATATTATAAAAATATTTGTCCCCTAATTTAAAATCATAACTATCGATATCCAAACGTGAAAGTGAATCAGCAACAATATTATCCTTTGTGCTAATGTAAGAAGCAAATATTATAATTCTTCTCTTTTCACACCACTGCCATATAATTTTTGCAAGCTCCTGACATTGATAGGATCTGCAGCCCCCATATTTATTTATGTACGATATTGCAGTGGTGCTGTCTGACCTAATAAGAACTGATTTATCTGTAAAATCTACCAACGCCAGCAATGCATTATAAATTGCAAGTAACTCTAGTTCGTTAATATGCCTTTTAGCCTCATTGAAATTCCAATGACCCCTAGTTGATCTTCTTGCTCTCGTTGCACCCCAGCCAGTTAGAGATGCATCTGTTGTTAAGGTTAAAAAATATGCTTCCTGCCTGATTTTCTTTCTAGAATGAGAAATATTCTTTATCCACCAATTTAAATCTGCGACTCCTTCATCAGAAATGGTGACCTTGTGATTATAATTCTGATTTGAGATAAAAAGGCCATCAATTTTCTCCATTTCTAACTTTCTAGTGTATACTTGGCCATATTCTACTCCCGGACACGATGATATTAATGTACCAATCAACTCAGCTAAATTTTGAAGAGGAACAGAACTCATATTTATGACACCCTGACATTTTTCTAATCCTCGTGTTTTCTTTTTGTCCGGTAAAGATATTTCCATTGATTCTGAATCTATTAAGAAACCTAAGAATTTTACTCTCTGGCAAGGAATCAATCTTGATTTTTCATCATTAATTGACAAACCCAAGAATTTAAGTAATGAAATTGTTATCTGAGTAGCCCTTTGACATTCTGCATATGTTTCTCCTACTGTTAGCAAATCATCTAGATATGATACGTTAACTATAAGTCTGGATCGCAAATAAGCCAGAACAGGTTTTAAAACCTTTGTGTATAGCCATGGTGCTAATGACAATCCAAATGGAAGACATAAGTATTCATATAGAATACTTTTCCACCGAAATTTCAAAAATTTCCTAGAACTCTTATGCATTGGAATCATGTAATAAGCATCTTTCTGGTCAACAACGGTAAAATAACAGTTTGGTGTCACTAATGCGAGTGCAGTTCTTATATCTTCCATTTTGAAATGATCAACCAGAATAAAATTATTTAAAAGTTTTAAATTAAGAACAAACCTACGAGAACCGTCTGGTTTAGGAACTGTGAAAATGCTAGATAAAAATTGACCTTCCTCTTCTTTAGAGATTTGAATAACTCCACTGCTAACCATCTCATTAATACATGAATCAATATAACCTGATTCAACTTCATTCATTTTAGGGATATTAGGTTCTTTGGCCTGACTAGGTGTGTGATTAAATATTAATTTATAGCCCGAAATAGCCTTAAGTACAAAATCATCAGAAGTTATAGTTTTCCAATTTTCTACATAAAATCTTAATCTACCTGCCTTCTCATTTGTAATATTTTGATTTATGGTTGTCGAAATTGTCGTTGTGGATAATTTCCTCGGTTGAATCCTCGCTGGTTGAATTGTCCCCGAGTTTGACCTCGAAACTGCCCTTGCGTCCCTCGATGGGTCTGGAATCGTGGGAACGGGCGTTGGAAGTTTAAATTTCCGGTATTTCTTGAGAAATTGTATGGACGGAACCGAGTAGTCCTTGTCATTGACGATCGAATAACAGTTGAAGCTGCTTTTGACGTCTTTAAAGTTTCGCTCAAATTGTCACCAAAAAGATATTCCGATACTGGCAACTGTTTATCAATTATTTCTCATTGCAGAATATTATTACGATGTAACATATTGAGTAAATAAATAATAATAATCACCTGTTTGTTGCAAATTGCACTGTACTCTGGATTAATTAATTTTTTCACTTCCTGACGGCGTTTCATATTGCTCGCCTGCAGCTGATCGCCCAAAATATTTCCTCCATCAATAGCTAATTTCAAAATCCTTTTCTTCACCTCTTGAGGGATCTCATTTGAGTGAGTGGCAACCTCATTTGCAATTTCGGCCACGTAATTAGACCAAAGCTAATTGATTGTTGAACTTGTTGAGTTTGGATATCTGCCAGCCTTGCACCCGTAGGTAAATGGGCCCAGATTTCAGAATTCATTTTCGGAACAGCAAAACCCTTGCAGTTGGACGGGATATTTATCTGATCTTTGAGTTTTGGGCAATTTCCTTCGTCAAAGGACGACTAACTGTTTTTGAAAACCCCTCAGAGATTTGTGGAAGCAGATCGGGACCATATTCAATGCTGCCCTCAATATCTTTCATAATCTCTACCAGCTCGTTATCGTCCTGACCATCTAATTAATGAATTCATTCTTAGATTTTAAACTTAGAGATAAAATTATATTTTATTTTTCGTGCAATATTATTACCATGTGGTTTATCTTGAAACATATTTGCAAAATTCTCAGATTCCTACTCCTGAGAATTGTCCTCCTCGTCTGAGAGACCAAGTGACCAACCCTTGTCCTTTGGAGTCTGTCCTTGAGGAATATCATTCTTCCCTACTGCTTCTTTCAAAGAATCCAGCTCTTTTTGCTGAGTCGCAATAAATATGGACATTGATTCTACTTGACCTTTTAACTCGTTATAATCCGACATGGCTGTTAAAACCAAAAAACATCGGAAATTAAAATTAATGTGGGCCAGCGCGGGACACCACGTCTCCGTCACCTTTTCAAGGTGGCTCGGAGTTATTTTGTTTAATTCTTCACAATTAATTATATTTTCTAAATAAAAATACCCTCAATTCATGGGAATTACTCTAGACTTACCTGGTGACCGAATGGGACCTCTTATGTTGAAAAAGAAACTGGAAATCTTCTTTAAAAAATTACAATTTTTCACGGGCTAAGATGGCGACAGCACAACACTACCATGAAATCAACAGTGAAGATTACCGGACCCGCGACGTGGCAAGTAGGGTTCCTTCTTCTTACTTTTTCATTGTGCGCATGCACTTTGAAAATATGGGACTGCACACACTACGTGATATCAATCACTACAACAACAGTTATTACAGTGATATATGTAGTTGGAGGAAGAAGAAATATAATAATAATTTTCATTTGTTCGGATTAAGATTTACATAAATTCAACCTTGTGGACTAACCTATGACGAAATTTTTGTAACTAAAAAAATTTTCATGGAATTGGTAAAGTTGAGTTGTTAAAAATATGTCACCGTTCGAAGCGGAATAAAAACGTTCGCTATACATATTTATAGATTTACGACTTTTTGAGATGAGTTTATCTTATCTCATCTCATGTGAAGATAAGTGTGAGATGAGATGGCGAGAGATGAGATGTTCATAGCCCTCTGTCTTTTAAAATTTGTAGATTTTAATGCACCTAAAAATTATCGATTTTTGGATAATTGGTGATATTTGAAAATTATGAATTTATTTATAAACCCGAATATGAAATTATGAAAATTATTACGTTCCGATCTCAAGAGTTGGGCTTGATCGATTGAATCGATAAATTTATTAATCTTATTAGATAAAAATTGCAAATATTTGTATTCACCTTCGCACTTTCAAAAGTTAAGTCGAAAATTATGAATTTACGTAAATACTAATTTGAAAATATAAAATATGAAAATTAGAATTTTTTTATTTCAAATTATTTATGCGTACAAGCGAAATCTGTACGACTATATTAATCATCTCATTGCATACAAATAATATGGCTTCGAACTATGACACTTTTTAACTATGCAACTTTAATAATTCCAGAGAAAATTTGCATATTTAAACATGAACAAAATTTAGTCCTAATTAACTCGAAAATTATGAACATTCTGTAAATATTGATCTGCAAATATGAAAATTACTACTTTGCACTTTGTGCTCTCAAATTATAACGACCATGCATACAAAATCTGTAAAATTATATTAATCTCTTTACATAAAACTTGCGAATATTTGTTCTGGGTTCGGATTGTGACACACATTTTAACTACTCAATTTCACTAATTCCATTAAAATCTGGGTATTTACACAAACAAAAATTTCGTCGTAGTTTAGACGAAAAATAAGAATTTTCGTAAATATCTATTAAGCTGGGAATATAAAATATGAAAATAATTACGTTTTGATTACAAATTATTTCACTTACTTCAAATTAACGAATCTGTACAAATTTATTAATTTAATAGACTGAAAATTGCAAATATTTTTATTTGGCATGCCATTTTTTTAATTAGTCAACTAGACTTCGTCACGGTTGACTTGAAAATTATGAATTTACGTAAATACTAATTTGAAAATATAAAATATGAAAATTAGAATTTTATGATATCAAATTAGTTATTATCAATTATTCAATTACAGATGCAATCAATCTTTAAAATTGCATCTATCTCATTCTATAAATTTTTTTTAAAACTACTCCACTTAACTTACTAATTCTGGCATATGAAATTTCGAAATTGGCGAATATGAAAATCATTAATCTGGATATTATTAATGGCACGAGCCCCTCTCATCACTAGTATATAATTAATTAGTTAATTAAAGTAATTAAATTGTTATTTTTACTTAATACTAGTTCATCTCATAAATTTACTTGATAAATTCACAACTTTGTTAGAAAAGTTAAAAAAACTGCAACAGTTCGAAACCAATATTCGTAATTTTTACGCGATGAAATTGGGTAATACGGTTGTACAGGTAATTGGAAGTCATAAATTTATAATTGTTATGTTTTATATGCTCACATTAATATTTACATTTTCGCCAATTTCGAAATTTTATATGCCAGAATTAGTAAAGTAACTTGAGTAGTTTAAAAAATTGTCATAACATTTGAAATTTTGATGCAATGAGATTTATGCAGTTTAACAGATTTATAAAATCTGTAATTTCCCAATTACTAATTTGATATCATAAAATTTGAATTTTCATATTTTATATGCTCACATTAATATTTATATAAACTCGTAATTTTCGACTAAACTATGACAAAATTTTTGCAAATACGTAGAGTTTCATGGAATTAATAAAGTTGAGTGTTTAAACAATTTTCGAAAAAGATATAATCGTAATTTTTATGTGACGAGATTAATGAAATACAGATTTTGACCTTCTCTATGTGTTTACAATTTGGAAGCTTAAAATAATAACTTTAATTAAAAGGCATTAAATTTTGACATTTAACTTAATCTAATTTAATTTAAACATTTAACCATTAATTAAAAGACCTGATGAAATAATAAACATTGCGAAAGCTAGTGTCACATTTACAATAAATAAATGACCTGTCCTGACAATCTATGCATTCTTCTTCAAAAAAAATTATTTTAATATTTTAATATTTGTTAAAAATTAATATAAATTCATAATTTCCATATTTGCCAATTTCGAAATTTAATTAGCCAAGTTGAATAAGTGGCTAAAAAATGTCACAGTTCGAACCCAATATATTTGAAATTTTAATTCAAATGAAATTCTACAGTTGAACTGATTTTGCAAACCCAGTACTAATTTGAAATCATAAAGTTTTTCTAGTTTTCATATTTTATATTTTCAGACTCATATTTACGTAAATTTAGAATTTTTAAGATAGATATATACAATGAAATAGTGTTTTTTCGCAATGGAGCGATTTTCAAGTTTGATGGCTTAAAATTTCCGTAATTTTTTGTACATAAAGAATCTGAAATAAAATTGGGGAGGCGCATGGACAGTTTTCGCGATACGAGCAAAAATGTGCGAATTTTTTGCTAATTTTGGATTTTGACTCAAACTCGTCCAAATTTTGGTCAAATATCACCGGAAATAATTTTACAAATTATTTTGGACCAGAATTTGGCAAATGACTTGAACCAGTTTTCCAAGTTATTGAATTTTGAAAAATAATTGCATTTTCCATATTATTAATTGAGTAAACCATGACGAAATTTGCGTCCATATGTAAATACTCGGATTTTTCAGTAATTAGTAAAGCTGCTTTGTTAAAAAATGTTCCAGTTCGAACCAAAATAAAAATACTCGCAAATTTTATCTAACGAGATTAATAAATTTATGCAGACTTTGTTTCTCAATCAAATAAGTTTAGGCGGCGTTAATAGCCTAGTATAAATTAAGCTTAAACTACGCATAGTAATTTTCATATTTTCAAATTAATATTTACATAAATTCGACGAAATTGTTGTTTCTGTAAATACCCGTATTTTGACGGAATTAGCAAAATTTCCTAGTTAAAAAGTGTCACAGTCCGAGTCCAAATAAAATATTTTCCGTTTTAATGTAACGAGAGTAATAATTTATACAGGTTTTGCCTTTCTTTGCGGGAATTAGTAAAGTTGAGTAGTTAAAAAAAATGGCAAATTTCGAAGCCAATATTGGCAATTTTTATATAAAGAGATTATTAAGTGTATACAGATATCTGGCATCTCCAACAATATGAAGACTTTAATGTATCTAAAAATCGATAATTTTTAGGTTTACAAAGTTACGAGGGTAGAATTTTGATTTTATTTTATTCCATGAGAAAATATTTAATTTTTACTTATTATTTTGCATCTATTTTAAATTTATTGTGGCGATGAACAGGTTTCAAAATCACCAATTTGAATATATGGAAGAAGGGAAAGTTGAGACACCACAATTCAAACTCAATCCCCGCATGCTGTGACACCTTAATATTTGCACAATATTTTAATAATTTTCATATTCGACAATTTCGAAATTGTATACGCCAGATTGTAATAGAATTAGAATTAATCATGTAATTTGAGTAGTTGAAAAGTGTCCCAGTTCAAAGCCGATATTCGCAATTTTTATGCAAATGAGATTAGTACAGTTGTACAGATCCATTGATGGACCGATCGTGATGAATAATTTGAAATCATAAAGTAGTAATTTTGATACTATCAAATTAGTATTTAGATAAATTCATAATTTTCGACTAAACTATTATGAAATTTTATGTATTTGTGTAAATACGCAGATTTTCATGGAATTAGTAAAGTAATTTTAAATGTGTCATAGTTCGAAGCCAAATAAAAATATTCGCAATTTTATGCAAATTACTTTGTAAGTTTTACAGATTCTGTTTGCCATTCTATAATTTGAAAGCATTAAGTAAAAGTGTTCATATTTTCATATCTGTATTTACATAAATTCATAATTTTCGACTAAACTATGACGAAATTTTTGTATTTGCATAAATACGCAGATTTTCAGGGAACTATTCAAGTTAAGTGGTTAAGGTGGTATAGTATGCGGGTTTTGAGTTTGAATTGTTGCGTCTCAACTTTCCCTTTTTCTATATATTCAAATGGCGATTTTGAAACCTGATCATCTCCGTGAGTTTGTTACAATATGAAGATTTTAATGCACCTAAAAATCGATAATTTTTAGGTTTACAAAGTTGCGGTGGTCTGATCTTTATATTTTTCTTCCGTGAGAAAATACATATAAAATAGACGAAAAATAATCAGTAAAACTTAAATATTTTCTCATGGAAGAAAAACATAAAGATCAGACCAGCGCAACTTTGTAAACCTAAAAATTATCGATTTTTAGGTGCATTAAAATCTTCATATTGTAAAAAAAACTCACGGAGATGATCAGGTTTCAAAATCGCCATTTGAATATAAGGTAGAAGGGAAAGTTGAGACGCAACAATTCAAACTCAAAACCCGCATACTATACCACCTTAAATATGTCACCGTTCGAACCCAATATTTACAAGTTTAATAAAATGAAATTAATTCATACAGCTAAACATATCTTTCAAATTCAAATTCTCAATTTTAACACAACTAATTTGAAATCACAAATGAGTTGATATTTTATATTTTCAGATTAATATTTCCATAAATTCAAAATTTTCCACTGATCAAAATATGCCGAAATTTGTCGAAATATGCTGAAACCTTAATACGCAGATTTTGCTGGAATTATTCAAGTTTAGTTAAAATAAATATTATAAGGTATGATTTACATAAATTCATAATTTTCATTTTCGCCAATATTTTATATTAAATTATTACCGTTCAATGCTCAAACTACCAATTATCAAATCATGGAAATTACGAACAAAATTAATAAACTAAAGAAGCAAAAAGACAATATAACAATAAATAAAAAGCAAAGAGTAATTTGTTCATCTATTTTTAATAAAATTCGTACAACTACCTTTTACAATTTTTATTTCGTGCGTCAAACGTTGACAACGAAATCGATTTGAAAGATTCGAATTTTTCCATTCGAAATCTGAAACACCGAAAAAAAGCTTCAAAATTTCTTTTATTTCATAGTTTCAAACGAATAAATTAAAAAATACACTCTTAGAAACTTGGTATTGAAAAAAACTTAACGGTATTGATACGTGACTCTACCGCCTTGGTATTAAACAGTTATACCATATTGGTATAGAACCGGTATTGAAATTATACCCCATGGTAATAATTTTAATACTAATTGGTATTAATTTTTTTACCACGTAGTATTAACTCAATACCGGATCAATACCACGCGGTAGAGTCACGTATCAATACCAACGGTTATTGATTTTTTTAAGAGTGTAAGGAACAGAAAAAGTTTTTAATGAACCCCAGCAAATCTCATATTAATTGTATTTATCTATTTTTAATTAAAATTTGCGCAATTATCTTCTACAATTTCCATTTTTTGAGATTTGATAAAATCGATTTTCGTTTTAATCGAGGAAAGTAAACCTACGAAATTTCGCAATTTGTATGCAATTCATAGTTTCAAAAATGTTTCAAAAGAATAAATTAAAAAATATTGATTAAAACTTTTAATCTTTTCAGGCGTTAATAAAGAATTCGATCAATCTTTTATCAAGAGTGGTATAGTATTTTGAAAAATTTCTTAAATTCTAATTTTAATTGAGATAAAATCCCTGCAGAAAGAAAACTAGGAGTAAAAACTACGAAATGGCGGATTTCCATCTAATTTTAATTACAATTACATGATTTTTCCCAAATTCCAATTTCGGCGTTAAACTCCACCCAATTAAAATTGAAGATTTGAGATTTTCAGATTTAGTAAAATATTTCGTAGTTAAATTTGAGAGCATAAGGTAGTAATTTGCATACTTTGATATTTTCAAATTTATAAATACATAATAAATTTATAATCTTCATGTTGGCTAATTTCGAAATTTTACACGCTGATTTTGTTGGAATTAGTAAAGTCTAGTAGCCATAAAATGTTCCAGTTCGAACCCAATATTTGCATTTTTTGCAATGAGATCAATTCAGTTATACAGATTCGTAATCGAGTTGAATGGAAGTATTGATGGAAGAATTTCATGATAGCTTACAATGGAGGCGCAAACCATGTTCAGCCCAGATAATTTTTTGACCTTATTAGTTTGAAAGAGCAAGTCTTTACAAACAACATTTGGTTCGGCACTTGGGCCGATGCGCAAATTTCAGCACGTTCTGGGCGCCGCAAGTTTGCAAAAACGCACGATTTTTCGGGCAATCCCCAGCGCGAGCTCAACTTCGTGCGTTTTTGCGAACTTGCGGCGCCCATAACGTGCTGAAATTTGCGCATCTGCCCAAGTGCCGAACCAAATGTTGTTTGTAAAGACTTGCTCTTTCAAACTAATAAGGTCAAAAAATTATCTGGGCTGAACATGGTTTGCGTCTCCATTGTTAGTCGAAAATTATGAATTTTCGCTCTAAATTGCTGTCGAAATGGAGCTGGGAAAAGAGAAACCTGTACAAATTTATTAATCTATTTGCATAAAAATTGCGAATAATTTTATGCGACTCTGAACGGTAAAATATTTAGCTCTAAGACTTAGCAAATTGCATCAAAATCTGCGTATTTACAAACATGCAAAAATTTCGTCATATTTCAGTCGAAAATAATGAATTTACGTAAATATTAATCTTAAAATTATTACTCTATGCTCTCAATCGGGTCTCAAATTGTAGCTGGGAAAAGGGAAACCTGTACAAATTTACTAATCTCTTTGCACAAAAATTGCGAATATTTTTATTCCAAACTGCGAGATTTTTAACTAATCAACTTTACAAAGATCAAAATATGCGTATTTACAAATATGCAAAAATTTCGTCATAGTTTAGTCGAAAATTATGAATTTATGAAAATACCAATTTAAAAGTATAAAATGACTATTTTATAATTTCAAATTAGTCATGGTCAAAATCGAGGTGATGGATCTTTACAACTGTACTAATCTCATTTGCATAAAAATTGCGAATATCGGCTTTGAACAACTACTCAACCTTCATATCACAATCATGAAATCATACCTGTTCACTTTCATGCATTTGAATGATTATGATAGTGAATGAAAATGAATGAAAATGAATTTCTTGTCATTTGAATGAAAAGGACGGAAAAATTCCGTCATTTGAAATGAATGAGTTGAATGAAAGGATTTTTCACTCCTTTCATTTTTCACCCTATGCTTAATACATAGGCGAAGTAAGAAATGAAGTCTGATGAAGTGAAGTGAAATAATATGAATTTGATAGAAAATGACTGAATGTGAATGAAAATGTTCAGCAGAAATCGGTATTACGGCCTTGGGCCTTTTGAATGAAAAATTTTTATTTTCTGTAGATGTATGGTGCATACCTACCTGTTCATTTTCATTCGTGTGAATGATTATGATAGTGAATGATAGTGAATGAAAATGAATTTCCTGTGATTTGAATGAAAATGACTAAACGATTCCGTCATTTCAGATGAATGACTGGGAATGAAAGGATTTCTCACTCATTTCATTTTTCACCCCATGCTTAATACTTAATACTAGATTTAATAAATGGTCAATTCATTTTTGAAGAAACTTATAGCAAAAAAATGGCAAACTTCGCTAATTTTTTTTCAAATCGACTTGTCAGTACCAAAAATTAACTTTGCATTAAAATGTCAAAAGCAGCATTTATCTCAAAACTAAATTGGAATTGATTACATTTTAGAAATTGCATTTGAAGACAATGAATAGGGGTAGAGTGAGATTATCGTCATCCAAAGCACCCTTAATGTCAGAGAAGTGATAATGACAGAGCAGAATCTTACGTGACATCGGAAAAGTGTGGACAAGTTAAAGTCCAGCATTCCAATGGTGAAATATTTATTCCTATCCGTGCCCTATCTTTCTCAGACCTTATCTCCCAACCTTATCTGCAGTATTTAACTTTACAACAGTCCAACTCAATTACACTACAAAGCTTCGTGTGATAAGTACTTTCAATATTACAATTTGTGCATATACGTGATTATTTTTTTCAATGGTATTGAGAAATCGTTAAATTGTCAATCCACCTTTGAATAATTACATTCTAATTGATCAAGTGGGTTCAAATTGTTAAGCGAGATTGTAAGTTAGTCAAAAATTTAATGCTCTTCTTCGTTGTGATTGTCTGCATACAGTGAATCAATTAGTGAAACGTAAAATAAAAATCAATTAATTAGCATACAGTGGCGAGCAAATTTAATTGTACGGTAGAAAAACCGTTCTATCTCGCAATTGGCCATGATAAGGAATTGAAAATTTGCAGAGTGGTAGCCCATAAAGATTGTCGTTGGATGCCGTTCCTGTTGTTTGAAAAGTGTAAAAAAAGTCAATGGTCATAATTTGTTACCTAAAAGCTTACTTAAACTCTTAGAGTGATTTTTTTTCTTGAAGGATTTATTTTTTGATCGATAGCTCAGCCAAATGTAAACACTTTGGTATCCTGTTCAGTTCTATACGATTTTTTAGAAGAGAATTATGAATTTTTTAAAAAGCGAATTTTGCAGATTTTTCTAAATTCTCCGTATGCTAAACTTTTCAAAATTCGTTTTTTTTTAATTTCATAACTTTCTTCAAAGAAATCGTAGAGAACTGAATAAGATATCAAAATGTTCACATTGAACTGAGCTATCGATCCAAAAATAAAGCTTGCAAGGAAAAAAATGACCTCAAAATTGTGACTTTTGGTTTTTTCAACATTTTTCAAAAACAGGGACGGCACCCAACCAAAATCTTTATGGGCAAATTTTCAAGCTGTTATCGTGGCCAATGTGCGAGATAGAACAGTTTTTCTACCGTACAATTTAATTTGCTCGCCACTGTATGTCTGTGATTATCTCTTACTTAGCTTCTGAACAAAGTCGACAAGATGGAAGAAATTAATGCCGTCACCCCGCAACAGATTGCCACACTCAGGAAAAATTTCAATGACAAGGTTGCCTCTCAGTCGCCCGGTTTCCATCCGAATGACCTGGAACGAGTGAAATCGGATGAACTGTGGATGCGAAGGTTTATAGCACACGCAGAATCCAATATGGACACAGCCAGCACCCTTTTGTACGAATGTTGTCAATGGAGAAAGGACTTCGGAACGAATGATTTGGACGACACCAATATTCCAAGGGACCTCTTGGAAAAGGGAGTCCTTTTTATCCGGGGGAAGGACAAGTGGGGAAAGAAATTGTTGGTTTTTAAAGCCCAGAACCACACCAAAGGCACCGTGGAGATTGAACACCTCCAAAAACTTGTAGTTCACGCGTTTGAAAGGATTGAAAAAGAATCTAAGAGCGATCAGATTTCGATAATATTCGACATGACGAATACCGGCTGGAGTAATATGGACATGGTAAAATACAGTTCCTCTTATCAGATGATCCACGATTACCCGCACCACAAGGTGTTCCAAATTATTTATTACCAGTTTAGAAACCATGCATAAATTATGTCACGCAACAGGGGGGAAGGGGTCCAAGGCTCCAATGATATCGTGCCTATGTGAAACATGTTAAAGGGGGGAGGGGGGTCTAGAAAATCCTAATTTATGGATATCCCCTTATTTTAATTTTCACGTAACTAAAAATCATTCAATTTCGTGTCTGGAATTTAAACAATTGAATAAGTTTCACGTCAAAATTAAATAAAATGGATAAAATAAAGGGTTGTAAATAATTTAATACCAGTTAATTCTAATCTTCACAAGAATATTTTAATTTCCAGACACGAAATTGAAAGGTTTTTACTTGTTTTTTTACGTAAATTTCGGGTCTGGAATTTGGGAAATTAAATGATTTTTACGTGAAAATTAAAATTAACTTGTATTAAATAATTTAGAACACCTTCATTTTATCCATTTTATTTTGACGTGAAACTCACTCAATTTCCCAAATTCCCGACACGAAATTGAATGATTTTTACTTAATTACGTGAAAATTAAAATAATCTGGTATTAAGTAATTTAGAACACCTTGTACAGTTCAGGTTATTCGGCTCATGTAATCGTGTAATCACTTAAACCTCTTATAGCAAAAATAGATCAGTAAACCCATCATTTTTTCTTATCATATTTTTAACCCATCATTTTTTTAAAGGATTTTGTTAGATACCTGATTACACTACTGAAAACTTACTACCCGTACTTTGTCAACTACTTGGTAATATTTTCCATGCCGTGGTTGTTAAATGCGGCCTGGAAAATAATCAAGACCTGGCTTCCCGAAAAATTCGTGGACAGAGTCAAGTTTCAGGACAAAAAGACATTAAAGGACTACATAGACGTTGATAATCAACTTGTCGAATGGGGTGGAACGGACAACTATGTTTTCAAGTATGAACCGGCTAAAAAATCCGGGCGAAATGCGGTTAACAATAACTCAACAAATGTACAAAACGGGATGGAAACAAAAACAAAGAGCAATCGGGTGAGACGGCATTTTTCATACATTTTATGTACATTAAGGTGGCATTGTATGCGAGTTTTGAGTTTGAATTGTTATATCTCAACTTTCCCTTCTTCGATATATTCAAATGACGATTTTGAAACCTATTCATCTCCGTGGGTTTTGTACAATATGAAGATTTTAATGCACCTAAAAATTGATAATTCTTAGGTTTACAAAGTTACTAGGGTGGAATTTTGATTTTTTTTCTCCCATCAGAAAATATTTTATAAAACAAGTGAAAAAAATAAGTAAAAACTAAATATTTTCTCGAGGAAGAAAAACAAAAATCAAAATTCTTAATCAAAGATCAATAATTCCTCGTGAGTTAAGGTGCCATTGTATGTGGGTTTTGAGGTTGAATTTTTGTGTCTCAACTTCCCCTTCTTCCATATGTTCAAATGACGATTTTGAAACCTATTCATCTCTGTGGGTTTTTTACAGTATGAGGATTTCAATGCACTTTTATTCTTTTAACGCTTTATCAATTACCCATAATTATCTTTATTTCTTGGCTCAAATCTGCCCATGTTATCTCGAAGTCTATTTAAAACTTTTAATGTAGGCCCAATTTGCCGGAAATGGAAGAACAAGTACCGAATACTCCGACCTAAGTCCGGACAGAGCTTCTGGTGGCACAGCAATTCCGAATTCCAGCTCAAGTAAGTACATATATACGACCACTAATACCAGCAAAATTCAAAACCTTGATCCGTATTACACATATTATGTAAAACCTGGACATTCCTTACATACAAATATCAAACTAATCCTGAATTGATTCATTAGACAACTGCCTAGTAGATGTCGAAGATCGCGTTATGTTCCGACCCAGCGAATCCGCCGATGATGAATATGCTGCTCAGTTAACTGTACAAAATATATCTCCGAATGGAGACGCGCTTATTATTAAGGTATGTAAGACAAGTTCATGTCATTCTGGTTTGGAGGAAAATAAAGGAAATACGGGTATCAATGCGATGGTGTCAAATGTAACCCTCAGATTTGGTGGAAATTTTAAAATTATGTGGTCCAAGTTATTACAAACAACGTTTCTTGAGCCAGTTCGAGCGATGGTTGCACTGTAAATAAAGTTGAGTAAAATTGCCACCAAATCAACTATTGAGTAAAATTTACCCTGACAAAGGTAAAATTTACTCAAGATTGAGCAAAAATCTTTCAACCTTGAGTAAATTTTACCTTTGTCAGGGTAAATTTTACTCAATAGTTGCTTTGGTGGCAATTTTACTCAAAATTGAGTAAATTTTAATCAAATTTATTTAGAGTGTGAAATTTGTCAAAATATTTGAGGTCAAAGTTGAAAAAATGGACGATTTTTACCAAGCGGAGGAAGCAAACAACTTGAATTCTCTTCTCGTGCTAAAAATCGCATATTTTTTAAGTTTATCCTAAAATATTTTGGCAAATTCTGACCATCGCACAAATTGCCTCAAGAAACGTGGGTTGTATTGACTTGGACCACATAATTTCAAAATTTCAACCAAATCCGAGGGTTACACTTGACACGATCGCATTGTACATAAATATGTAAATTGCATTTATGTAGATTAAGACCACGTCTCCATCGCGGTATCGAGTAAAGCCGATAATATTTGTACTGAATCGAAATGCAAAAGGGTTTGTGAGCCTTGAAACCCACTCCGGAGTTGCAGCCGCGACCATGACGAAGGACCGATTTCAAGTACAAGTTGTTATAATTCCGCAAAATATGCTGACCTCTGTAGAAAACAGTAATGATTTGGGACATAATTTTCGGGTAAGTTAATTTGTCAAGTTCATACCTGTTCACTTCATTCATTTGATTTATCATGATTATTAATAAAAATGAATTTCCCGTCATTTGAATGAGAATGAATTTCCTGTCATTTGAACGAAAATTATTGAAGGATTCCGTCATTTCGGATGAATGACTGTGAATGAAAAGATTTCTCACTCATTTCATTTTTCACCCTATGCTTAATACATGGGGCGAAGTAAGAAATGAAGTCCGATGAAATGAAGTGAAATGAAATGAATTGGAATGAAAATGACTGAATGTGAATGAAAATCTTCACTCAGAAATCGGGATGACTCACTTTTGAATGAAAACTAAATTTTTGAACAGGTACGCACATAACACGTTTTTCCAATTTTTACAGCAAATCCTGCACAGTGGGACACAATTTGAGACGTATAGGGTAAACGTTGCTGTTGAGGCACGACCAGGAGATACGGGAACGGCAGGAGGCTCAATTGCTATTAATGATGAAAGACTCCGACGCGGGTTGGAAGACTTGGAGAGAAAGGTATATTCAACTTTCTTTTCGATTAAGAAGGATAGAAAAGGAGGAATGGCATTCATTAGTTTCGGGATTTTTTTGCCTTTTATCCTTCTCTTTGTTCATCACTCTTAGAAATTGGGTTACGATTATAACCAAAAAGTAAACGCATCTGACTCTACCGCCGTGGTTATAAATTTGTCATTAAGTGGCAACAATTGTCACTGACTAGACTAATTATAAAGTTTCCCCGACTTGGTATTAAATTGTCACCAGAGGTAATAAATTCATAACCAGTTGGTGACAAAATTTATAACCACGGCGGTAGAGTCACATAGGTTTACTTTTTGGTTATAATCGTAACCCCATTTCTAAGAGTGTTCTAAAACCCGTGTTGAGTTCGACACAGTGTATATGTAAATTGGTTCTGAACATTTTTTCAAGATTACGGACTCTGTGGGCAAACAAGTTACTGCAAAAATTGATCGAATCGAGCGAATGTTGATGATTGCGGGTGCCTTGATGGTGATTCTATTTGCTTGTCTTTCTATCTACCTTTGGAGATTGACAGGAGAAAATTGTGCAAAAAGTTGTGGTGGTGGGGTTGGACTTTCTTCGAACTCCATTTCCGGAGATCTTTAATCCCCCAGCGTTTGAATTTTCACATTTCATATTTTCAGATTAATATTTACATAAATTCAAAATTTTGGACAAAAACTATGAAGAAATTTTTGAACACATGAAAATACCCTGATTCTAATAGAATTAGGAAAAGTGAAAGGATAAGGGTTCACTTTTAGTACTTGGAGGGGTCCAGATTAGGCCTTTTTTGTCTTTTTGCGGACAAAAAAGGCCTAATCTGGACCCCTCCAAGTATTAAAAATGAACCCTTATCCTTTCACTTATCCTTACTGCATAATTTAAATATTGTAATATAATTAGTTGAGTTGATTAGTAAAAAGAAAAATGTAATAATTCAAAGCTAAATAAAACTATTCGCAAACTTTGTACAAAGATTAATAAATTTACATAGGTTTTTCGGGGCTAATTGCAATAATCGGCCGATATCCAAACAGGAGAAAGCGTCAAGTAAAAAAATGTTACGAAAAATTTCCCAAAAATGTCACCTGCTTTTACTTTAATGATGACAATATTATTTTAAAATCATAATGCATATTTCCATTAAGTAAAAACATGGAATTTGACAATTTTACAAAACTCTTTGCATGCTACCAGCTCCCGATCCCTCCAAAAAGTCAGCGATTTGCTGTTCTTAAAATTTTTAGCTGCACACTTAAAAATGTAATGGTACATGGTAAGATTTTGAACGAATCGAGATCAGTTTCCGGTATGATACATACGACCCCAGGTAGAGGATCCAACCAACTTTTGGGGTCAATCGGACCACTCCCCTAGCACCTGGGGGCGTAGTCCTGGAAAAATTAACTTTTACTCAACTTGAATCATCCACACATGAAATCATACACTCTAAGAAACCCGGTAACTAAGTTATTACCAGGCGGAGTATCTATGTGACTCTACCGCATGGTAATTAATTTATTATTGAGTGGTAGACATTTTGTTACCAACTGGTAATATTTTCAAATTTCGCGACCGGGGATATTACTGGTTTGGTAACCAAATGTCAACCACTCAATAATAAATAAATTACCATGCGGTAGAGTCACATAGATACTCCGCCTGGTAATAACTTAGTTACCGAGTTTCTTAGAGTGTACCTGATTTCATCCTACTTTCACTTCCGTAACAGACAGACATTTTCGCTTATAATATAGAAGATGGTTCTATATTTATTTACAAATATATTTAATTTGAATGAGAATATCAACACATCATTACATCTTAGTTTTTGTAATATTATTAAATTCTGAAAATTTTGACATATAGGATTTCAAGAGGGGCAATTATAATGTTGAATCAGGAAAAATGGCTTATTATCCAAGAAGTTATTATTACGATAAGCTATGTCACTACTACTCAAATTTACTAATACCATAAAAATCTGTGTATAAAATTTCGAAGTTGGTAAATATGAAAATTTTGAATTTATTATGCATAATAAAAATAAAGAAATGTAAGGGTTAATTATTTATGCAAATTTGGTCCCTACTTCTGCACGAGAAGTTTGGAATCTTCTTATTTTTTGAAAGTACGACATTTATAGTCTCGATATTATTGATTTGATAACATTTTAAAAACATTTTGATAACATTTGATAACACGGCACGAGCCCCCATTCAAAAAAATGGTCGGCATCATGTCATCATCATCAACAAAAACAAGGGCTCAAAATTCAATTGGATATGATATGTCATTTACATTGCAATTTTTTGGTAATATCAATGTCGTCAATTAAATGACATGAAATTATGCTGGTTTTGCAATCCAATTCTGTGTAATATTTGCAAAATTAAACAGCATCACATCGTATTTGGCAGGGTTTATTTTGTTGTCACTTGTCTCAGTTTGTGACGAATTTTTTGATGAAGACTAAACTGAGGCAAAAATCTGGCTTATATTCTAAAAGACGCATTTAAAATTAAGCATTTAAATTTATTTCCGTCATTTTCAAACTACGACATTTTTAGTCTGATAAATTTTTGTCAATGTCAATATCAATGTCGTCAATGAAATAAATGAATTGATGCCGATTTTGAAGAGCAATTCTGCGTAATATTCGCAAAATAGAGTGACATAACATCATGTGAGACAGGGTTTATTTTTGTTGTCACACACTTTGTGACGATGAAATGGAAAGGACTATTTTCTGGATGTGACGAGACTAAAGTGGTGACGAAGTTTTTGCACGCAGATTTTTATGGAGTTAGTCAAGTCGAGTATCAAAAAATGTTCCAGTTGGAGCCCAATATTTACAATTTTTATGCAATAAGATTAATTGAGTTGTTTAGATTAATAATTATTCTTGGGGATAGTCGTAAAAATGCTGCGAAGAATCTGAACTTTGGGAATTTACACACATATATTTCGTCATAGTTTAGTTGAAAATTATGAATTTACGTAAATATTAATCTGAAAATATGAAAATTATTACTTTATGTTCTCAATTACTCTCAAACTATACAGCTGCTTAAAGAGAAATCTGCATAAATTTATTAATCTATTTGCATAAAAATTACGAATATTTTTATTTAGCTTCGAACTGTAACACTTTTTAACTACTCGACTTTACTAATCGCATAAAAATCTGAGTATTCAATTCGCAAACATACATAAATTTCGCAGTTGTTTAGTTGAAAATTATGAATTTACGTAAACATTAATCTGGAAATATAAAAATCTGCGTTTAAAAAAATTTCGACACCACTTCAGCCTCATCAAATTCATAAATAATCCTTTCCATCTGATCGTCACAAAGTGTGCCACCTTTATTAACTCCAACAAAATTTATACGTTCAAAATTTCGAAATTGGCGAATATTAAAATTATGAATTTAAATAAATACTATTCTGAAAATATAAAAATTATGCGGATTATGACTTCATGCTCTCAAACAACAAGCGCTGCAGCAAGAATCTGTATAAATTTATTAATTATGTATATATTTTCCAAATTTTTATATATTGGCTTCGAAGTTTTACACCTGCAGAAATTTTATCAGTAATAAAATTAGAGTATAAAATTTCGAAATTTAGAATTTTAAAATTCTTAATTTATTACGTAAATATTAATCTCATAATATAGTCAAAGTAATGAAATTTCGACTTTATCCTCTCAAACTCTACGCAATGAAACCTAAATCTGTATAAATTTAATAAAATCATTACATAAAAATTACGATGGCTTCAAACCTGAACAATTTTTAACTACTTTCAATAGAATTCTGCGTATAAAATGTAATTTACAACTTGGCGAATCATGAATTTATGTAAATATATGAACCTCAAAATACAAAAATTTGAATATTATTGCATAATCATCTCAAATTAGTTACTAGTTAAATTAAAAACAAAAACAAGTAAAAATTCTGTACAAATTTATTTTGCATAAATAATCCAAATTTGTGTTCGAGAAATTAATAATAATTTGAAAATTGTGCATTTATGTACGTAAATATTAATTTGAATATAAAGTTATAACTTAATCATCAAATTATGACACAAAAAAGCAAAATCTTAATAAAATTATTGATCTCATTACATAAAAATTGCGAATTTTGGTTTCGAACTTTACACTTTTTTTTAGCTTTACTCTAAATCCATCAAAATCTGCTTATTATTCACATGTGCACAAAAATTTCTTCAAGTTTAGTAGGAAACTTGAAACTTAAACTTATTAAAAAATATTAACCTGAAATAATAAAATTATGAAAATTACGATTCTAAGAACTTCAACATCTGGAACTAACTTATTATTATCACCCTTTCACAAAAATTGCGAGTGTTGGCTTCAAAATGTGACACCTTTTAACTATTCCATTCAACTAAATCCAAAAAATTAAGGTATAAAATTTCTAAAGTGGCGAATATGAAGATTATGAATTTATTATGCAAATATACTAATCTAAAAGTATAAAAATTATTATTTTATTCTCCCAACCAGCAGCATTTCTGGATCTGTATAAATTTATTAAATACCACTACACAAAAATTGCGAACATTTTTATTCGGATTCGTACTGTGACAATTCTTAACTACTCAACTTGACAAATTCCTTGAAAAATCTCCGTACACAAATTTCGTCGCAGTTTATTGACATTGCCAAAAAATTGGCAGTGTAACTGACATATCACATTCCATTGAATTTTGAGCCGCCCTTGTTTTTGTAGATTAAATTTTCTCGACAATTTTTTGAATGAGAGAGTCGTGCCGTCTAAAGTAAAGTGTTATGCAATCAATAACATCCAATCCAGACAGCAAATGTCGTAATTTAACAAAAAATGCGAAGATTCCAGACTTATCGGGAAGAAGTAGGGACCAAATTTACATAGTTGACCTTTACATTTATTTACATTCTATTGATGCACACGATACAAGGAAATATGTACACAAAATGATACCCATATAGTAAAAAAAAAATTGTGGATTTCACAAATTAATTCATGAGATGAACTCTTGTTTAATAAAATTATCTTGACAATTAATTAAATTGATTAATTATCAACTAATTAGAGTGAAGATGAAGATGACGTGGCTTTTAGCAAGTTCATGAGATTAACGAGAGTAAAATTATCGCCACAGTTAATTAATATTTCACGCATATTTATTTTACAAAATTTCAAATAGGTCCACCAATAGGATGTAGTTTTACGTATTTAAGAAAGATTATCGTCATAATTTATTTAATTAACAAAATATTACTGAATATGATATGGCGTAGCTTTAAACATATACATTTATAAGATAAACTCGAGTAAAATTATCGCAATAATTAATTAAGACCTATATCATGCAAAAATTGTACTCAAATTCTTGTAGACAAATGGGATGAACTTTTACATAAGTAGAATTATCGTTTTAATCAATTAATTAAATTAATTACCTACTCCTGTTTTTTTAACGATACGATCCTCGACGTCATCACTCTCATTACTAATAGCATTGCAGTGGTGACGTCGAGGGTCGTATCGTTAAAAAAACGGACTGTAAATATTAGCGAAAATGAAGATACGATTGACTAATTGTATTTAGAATGCATCTTCTGCTTGATGGGATATTTTGAGTGCCAACTTGTCATCAATTTATTTCGTGCGAATTTCTGCCTCGTGTTGATCGTGATGCAAAAGTGGGACGATTTGTGTCTTCATCCCCGGCCAAGATTTCCGCATTCGTTCCAAGCAAAATTCGCATTTCTTCGATGTCTTCTGCAGTAAATTAACGTGTCACTCAATGGGAAATTTGAGAATGATGCAATTGATTGCATCGATTAACGTAGGACTGGATGACGCAAAATCAACACATTTTTAATGATTTCTCGCCTCTGGGAATTTATTTTAAAATTCTGGAAGACAAATTTGTAGAGCAGGCCGTTGCCAATTTTGTAATTAACACAGGACGGGATTACCCCTGGCCAAAATTAGCACCTTTACAAATAACA